GTACAAAATTGGTTGAGAAGGGGAATTTTAGAGTGGGATACATGTCCTAGTCTAAAATGCCACAAATCAAAAGTGGATGTAGAAGCAGCAGAAATCAACTTAGGAGGAAGTGATGCTTGAAGGTAATAGAGGTCATTGTGAAGGCTAGCAGAACCAATCACTCTCTTCTGCTCCAAATCCTATATAAGACAAGTGGTAGATTGAAAGGATAATCTTAGTGGGGTGGTGGAAGCGAGTCTGCTCACAGAGAGGAGATTAAAGGTGAAATGGGGAACAAACAGGGAATTGTATAGAGTCAAGGCATCATGGCAAATGGTTGTGCTAGTGTGAGTTGCCTTTATTTGAGCTCCAGTAGGGAGAGTGATGAACACATTGGATAATGTCTGTGGATTTGTTAAGTACTCTAAGGAGCATACTATGTGGTCTGAAGCTCCAGTATCAACAATCCAAGGTTTTTTTAGAGTTGTAAGTGCATTCAAGACAGGAATTGAGAGAGAAGGAGTGGCAAGTATACCATTGTTGGTGACAAAGGCAGAAGCAGAGAAAGAAGGTTTGTTCTTTTGAGCATTCATTAGGCTCATGAGCTTGTCATAATATGCTCTGGTGAGCTTGACCTCATCAGAAGAAGAAGTGTTGGTTACAACATTATCAGCAGATCCGTTGGTTACCTTATTGCATGGATGAAAGGGCTTCTTCAAGATCTTCTATGCGAATGAGGTCACTAGATCCATAACGAGTTTGTAAACTTTTTCATGCCTCTGAAGCTGTTTTGCAAGCAAGAATGGTTTTGCGAATTTTTGATGAAGTGGACTGTTGGATCCAGCTGAGGATCATAACGTTGTTGCGAGTCCAAGCACCATACCTTGCATCAGTAGCTGCTGGCTCAGGGATTGTGCCATTGGTGAACTCGAGCTTGTTTTTTGCAGGAAGGGCGTTGAACATGGACCTGCTCCAGTCATTGTAATTTGTTGGTGTGAGTTTCTCAGCAACAAGGAGAGATCCAGGTTTCTATGAACCATGAAGAAAGAAGGGGTGAGAAGAAGGATCCACAACATTTGGCTGTGGAAGGGGTTGTGGATCTGGTTGTGGTTCTTGTTGGGGCTGAGCTTCATTGTCAACCATGGTAGAAGAAGAGTGGCGACTAGAGTTTTATCCCAGACTGTGATACCATAACAAAGGAAGATTGTTGTTCATCAACCAGAACGCCATGATCGACGCTGCAACGATGGCAACGAAAGCTCTGACGACTAGTTTTCCCTACTGCAAATCGATGCTGGCTTCATCCATTCTGAACCAAGATGAACTGTAGAGAAGTTTGGGGAGAGGGGAAGCAGGGATGCAATGCAACTATGCATGTGAAATGAACGGAAGAGGTGGCTATGACCATTATATGGGATTTTCCCTTCGGTTAATGGTTATTGGAATGAGGTCTGGACTCTGGATACTTCCACTTTGTGGCTGAAGCCTGAAGGTGATTTTTTTGGGTACACCTTAAGCCTGAAGGTCATAGCCTGATAGGGACTTGGAGTTTTTAGTTTGGGCTGATTAACCACAGTTTGTCATGATTCCTGAGTTTTTTTTATGCCATATGATTCCTGAGTTAATTAACCAGTCTACAAAGGTGTTGTTATGAATCTTGGGCCTTACTGTTTTAATCCCGAGAGGTCATTTCGATTGGGCCCGCAGTACTATGTTGGGCAAGACAAGAGAGGGGAACGGGAAAAACTAAACTTGGACCACTGAGATCCGCATGCATCCAAAGTCGAAACTGTGTACAACATTAACGTCGTATCGGAATCAACCATTCAAAGCCTTCCTCACGAATTGCTTGTTGGATTCGGAAATAAAGGTTTTGAGTTTTGAAAACTTTTGAATTTATGAGGGTAAAATACATCGGATACCACTAAAGTTTGAGAATTGGGGTAAACATACCACTTGAGTTTGAATAGGGTGTAGGGTACTTTTAAAGTCGAAAAAATGTGCATCCGGCTACCTTTCCATCCAACCCAAACATTTAATTACTTTTTGGTACCCAAAAATTTTAAAAACCATCAAAACTATATTTCAACAAGTTTATCTAATATAAAAATTAGAAAAACCTTCTAAACATATTATTACTAAAATGGCTAATCAAAATTTTTCATAAAATATATAAATTAGTACAAATATTAAATGAACATAAGAAAAATAATAAGTACAGTAGAATATAATAATAAATATTTAAAATTAATATTAGAATATCTGTTTAGACACCCTAATTCAATTAGAAGCACCATTAGAAATAGTTAAAATAGAACCTAATCGATCATCAATACATCAAAACCAAAGAAAGATAAATAGAACACAATCATAAGGAATAAAATATATTTCAGTAATTAACAAAACATTTAGAACGAAAAGAGACGGAAAGTAACCAAGTAATAAATGAACTATAAAAGCTACAACATTCAATAAAAAATATAGAAAATAAATATGATTATAGGAAGAGAATTAGAATTCTAAATTTAACTAATATGAAACATCTTCAAATATAATATTAGAGAATTAAAAGGAAATTTAACATGGAAAATTAGACAATATCACTCTGATGTAAGAGAACTAAATATAACATTCTCATATTATTTATATCAAGATAGAATTTATAAAATATATTTGCTTGAGAAAATTATTCAATTATAAGAACACATAATGATAATTGAAAATACTTATAATAATTGATTCTAAATTTTCTATTGAAAAATTGATTTGATATCAAGTATTCAAAAGTGGATTCCAATTAAACAATAAAAAATTATATTTTCCATAAATCCAAATGATTTTTTTACAATAAGAAAAGTAGAATGACCAATTATGAAATTTAGAAAACGGAATATTCCAAGAATATTCTGTCAACTTCCAAATGGTTTTTTTACAATAAGAAAAGTAGAAGAACCAATTATGAAATTTAGAAAACGGAATATTCCAGGAATTTTCTGTCAACTTTAATGCAATGCACATAGCAGTAAACTTAAGTGGTACCGGGTGCACATATAATAGAGTTAAGTGGTACCCGACGTCCTATTCAAACTTAAGTGATATGTCTACCTCAATTCTCAAACTTAAATGGTACCCGAGGTATTTTACTCGGATTTATGATGGATTTGTTGCATTTTGTATTTGAAAGATAACATTGTTTGTTTAGTTGATTTTGATCATGGATTTAAAGGTTTTTGTACCATGGCTCACAAATCTTTGCCTTTCATGACCAATTCTAAATGAAATGTGGTATTTGCAAATATATGGGGTCCACGGATTTGAAGCTAAAAAAAGGACCAAATACGTGGACCCCACGGATTTGTATACCCCAACAAACAATATTTATTTTTTGGCAAACCCTTGAGATTTGGGTGCCAAATACATCACCCAAATCCCACAAGCAAACGATACCAAAATGTGGTATAAACATCAACGTCGTATCGTAATCAAACCCTTCCACACGAATAAAATGTGGTATAAATTGTTTTTCCTAAATATATAATGAAATATAAATAAAGCCACAATCAAGAAATTAAAGTCGTAACATTATTTAAAAATAATATTGATCCAATATGATTTGGAATAAAGCAACAATGGTCTAAATAGTAAAATATAATTAAAAATTGATTATTTGAGAGATTGAATAAAAAAATTCAAATAAAAGAATCAAAATAGTAACTAAAATGACAATGAATCAATTAACTAGACTCAGATGAATAGGTAATGATAACTTAATTAAGTAGAAGATGAAAACAATTTTAGAACAATCAAATAGTATAAACAGGAGTAAACTAAATTAGATAGAACAAACTGATAATATTTGTCATATGGAGTTAAGTATGGTACAATTATTTATAATTGATTTATTTATTTTTTCTTTTCTATTATTGGTGGCTTGTACCTAATTATTCCGGTTGACGATTACTAAATCAATGCGAATTATTCAATTAATTTAGCATTATTGTCTTGCTAGTACAAACAGATTAATTGACGAAATTGAATTACATTTCCCCTTGGAAAGCTGAAATGAAAAAAGTTGGAAGCAAAAAATTCAATAATGCTAATATTGAAGTATCAACAATCATACCTCTTTTATTATATTTAGGAAACACACAACAAAAAGTGAGTTATGTCATATGGTTTGAAAAAGTCTAATAAGAAATAAAGTATTCCACTCATGTGATTTGTTCGTTCTTTTATACTTGGGACTTAACTTTTATAAAAATATTATTGTTTAGACCCACACAATCATGAAAATTGAACAATAGATAAAAACTAATGGACAATAGATGTAGACATAACAGACAATAAATGAACAAAAAGGTTGTAAAATGAGAGAGAGGTAAAGGATGGAACTTGAAATTTGTCACTTGCAAAGAGGAGTATGAGAGCCACTAATTAAGAGTAGCACCAAACCTAAACTATTATATATTAATTTTTGCTTCCTCGGTCCTCAATCCTCATCACTCTCAGCTTCTCGCAATCGAAATGAAAACACGTTCCCGGAAAATAACTTCCGGAGAGCTTCAAGCTGCTCCGGTTATTTCCTCCTCAATTCCATTCCTCCAACTCCTCTCTTCTATGAACCGCACTTCCAAATCAAAACTACCTCTAGTTCCCCGTGCCCTGTGCAAACATAAACGCCAATTCCTTCATTAGAAGAACTAAAAAACAAAACAATTGAAACCAGAGGCATCGCCAATTCCTTCAATGAAGTGATGAACGAGCTGCAAGTTCTGTTTATGTGGGAAACTTGAGCAGAGAGGGGAAATTGGGCGATGTAGGGTTTTTGGATTTTTTCTTTTTTCTTTTTAATTTTCCCATTTTCTTTTATATTAATTTTTAATTATTGACTAAAAAATAATATTTTATTCTTTTTAATGGCAGATGGACGGAAATTTTAACGAATGTCCAATTCATTGATATTAGTGGTACCCGACGTCCTATTCTAACTTAAGTGATATAACTACCCAAATTCTCATACTTTAGTGGTAGCCGATGTATTTTACGATCTCGAGAAGAAGAAAAAAAGAAGAACATAGCTTCACCTTTGTTCTCTGATTAGTGACTAGGGAGGAGAGAGAGTTGGAGAGGGAAGAGAGAGGGAGTTTTGTGTGTGGTAGGCGGAGAAATAAGGGGGAAAGTAGACATAAATGTTTTTTTGTGTAATAGGACGGAACGAGACGACGCTCCAACGTCGGGAAGGGTGTCGTGATCGCATGCTCGCCCACACTAAGAGAGTGCCCCAGCGAGGCTAGATAGTCTGCTGCCATGTTCCCCTCCCTGAACACATGCTTGAGCACCACCTGCCAATCTCTACTCAACAGCTGCCGAATCTGGGAGATCAAGATGTAGTGCGGATGCGTCCCGGCGGACTCCCGAATCAGCTCCATAGCGGTTCTTGAGTCAGTCTGCACTTCAACTTGCCTTGAGCCCTCTTCCCAAGCTATCCTCAATCCCATTGCGATCGCCATTAGTTCCGCCCTCATTGATGGAACCTCCCCCCAAAGTTGGATATTAATACTTGGACGAACCGCCCATCCTCTCTACGTAGCACCCCTCCTGCTGCAGCGCTTCCCTGAGCATACATCACCTACCCATCACAGTTTAAGCAGAGCCAGTCTCTCGGCGGTGGCGTCCAGGCTATGAGCTCCCTTCTTCTCGTCCTTCCGTCCGTGTTTATATCATTTTCCTTTGCCCATGCTAGCTGGATATGATGGTACCACCAATCCGCACGTTTTTGAACTTCTACATCCGACCCAAGGACCTTTTCAAAGACCCATGTATTTCTATTTTTCCAAAGTGACCAGCAAACTACTGCAAAAAGTGTGGCGTCCACCTTCCGGCCTCTCCCTGTCAGGTAGTGTAACAACCACCTATCCATGTTCTCGTGATAGAACATTTCATCATCATCCCCTTCCAAGAAGCCCGTCCACACCGCCCTCGCGTAGGGGCAATCCCGAAGCACGTGAAGAGTAGATTTCAGGCCCTGTCCGCAGATGGGGCAGCTGTCTACATTAGATAAATGGCGTCTCTTCCTTTCTTCATTAGTGAGCAGCCTGCGGTGGGTTGCCAGCCAAAGAAACGACTGTATACGCTGTATAGCTGGAGTTTTCCATATCGACCTCCACAGCGTGCGACTCCCGGAAAGCTCATAGTCTTCATTTGTGAGTTCATAAGCTGTTCTGACAGAGAAATTTCCTGAATCGGTGAGCCTCCACAGTGGCACATCTACTCCTGTTTCATTGGGTGGTGGGTACAACAGAAATTGTTGCACCACCTACTGGGGGAGGAAAGCCTGAATATACTGCACATTCCACTCGCCGTTCAGCACCAGGCCTGCCACCGACAAGGACCTCGCTACCTCCGGTAATTCCCCCGTCATATCTCCTAACGGAGGACCATCATATAGCCATCAGTCTTCCCAGAAGCGCACACTTTTCCCGTTTTTGACATTCCACATGAGGGCCTCAGGAAGGAGGTGGAGAACTGGTACTACCCTTCGCCACAGATTCGAGAGTCTCCCTGATGTGCGTAACTGCCATCCTCCGCCTCTCTCTCGTAGGTATTTGGCCCTGACAACTCGTGCCCATAAAGCTTCTTGTTCTGAGAGAAGGCGTCAAGCGATCTTCAGCATAAAAGCTTCATTCATCCTCGTAGCCGTTGTCAAACCAAGCCCACCTTCCTCTTTAGGTCTGCAAACCGTACTCCAGTCAACAAGGTGGATCTTTTTACCCATCTCCTAACTTCCCCAAACAAAAGCTCTGATCTTCTTGTCAATGTAGTCTCCGAATATCTTCCCAAATTCTTCGTCTCCTGTATTCCCAGTTCTGCACTAATAGAAGCACCCACCAACTCCATGACATTACCGGAGAAGAACACCCTCGACTTCGGGCGGCTGACCTGCTGACCCGACGTTGATCCGAAACACTCGAGACAACTGTTGATGATTGTCGCTTGCTCCGTTGTCGCCTCCCCCATCAAGATGAGATCATATGCAAAGAAGTGTGCGAAAAATCCGAGCCTTTACTCGAAATCCGAATAGGTTTCCATGATTTATTCTCAACCGAGGCGCTGATCAGATGGCCCAGTCTCTCCATACACAGAGTAAAAATGTATGGCAAGAGTGGACATCCTTGACGTAAACCCTGGGATGGTGAGAACTCCTCAGTCAACCCACCATTCCACTGCACCTGCATCGTCGGCGAGGTTATACACTGCATGGCCAGCTTGCTGAACTCCTCTGGTACTCCGGTTGCTTGAAGAGTATCTCGAACAAAGCACCACCGGATTCGGTCGTAGGCTTTGGCGAGATCGAACTTGAGTACCATCCAACCTGTTCTCCCCTTCTTAGCTCGCATAGAGTGAAAAACTTCCTGCAAAATACAGATATTGTCAGTAATGTGACGACCCGGGAGCTGGTCTGGGTTTCAGCCACCAGACGTGGCATGAGGGGCTTAAACTTGTTTTCCAGGCCTTTCGTAATAATTTTATACGCCACGTTGCACAAGCTAATTGGACGAAACTACTCGATGAGGGTCGGTTTGGCAACCTTGGGGATGAGAACTAAGATGGTAGCATTCATCCTCTCAATTTACGCGGATCCTCCCAACAGCTCCGTGCAAACTGGATCATATCCTCGCCAACGAACTCCCAACATTTCTTGTAAAAAAGTGGGTTAAGACCATCCTTCCTCGGTGCCTTCAAGGAGCCCATTGCTGCAACTGCTTTATAGACCTCATCATCCGTGAAATTCTTGGTGAGAGCACCCTACGCATCTTGCGACAGGTTGTTGAATCCATATGGTATGCTTGCAGCACGCTTGCCATTATCCAGGTACAGTTGGGCATAATAGTTGCGTGCCAGGTCCTGAAGTTTAGCCTGATCTTCTTCCGAGTTACCCAATTCGTCCTTTAAAGCCACAATGCGGCCTCCTTTGCATCACTCGATTGTGGAAAAACTTTGTGTTTCTATCCCCCGACACTATCCCTTCCGCTCGAGCTTTCTGGCACCAAAGGAGTTCTTCTTGTAGAAGAATTTCTTCGAGCTCGTTGCGTAAGGTATTCAGCTGTTCCGTGTCCGTATCACTTCTCCCCGAACTCTCTACTCGCTCGATCTGCATGAGAAATTTATTCTTCTTCCTCATTATATGCCCGAAGACCTCCACATTCCAGCGACTCGCCTCGTCCGCAAAGGAGCTAATCTAACTAGTTAGGTCACTTCCCTTGTTCCAAGCTAAACACGCCATATCTCGAAATGCTTCGTGGGTCAGCCATGCTGCCATGAACTTGAAGTAGACAGAAACGTTAAAATGCAAAAAGAAAGAAATAAAAAAGTCATAAAATAACATGATTAAATATTAATTATCTGAACCGGTCACAATCTCAATGATTATTAAATATTTGTTAGAGGCTTACTTAGAGTGATATTATTAACGAAATCAAAATGGGTAAATTCCACATTTGGTCACTACGATTACTAAATCGTATGAGGTTTAGTCCCTAGAAAAAATTAATATTAATTTTGGTCACTCGAACTACTAAAACAGGTCACATTTAGTCACTCTCCCGGTAACCTCCTGATAACGATGAAATTGCACATGTTTGCACCCTTAGTTCTTATCCGTTTGTGGAGCATAGTCGTGTATTTTTGTCCTATTTTACGCCGGGTTGTGCTACTTTGTCACATTTCAGGTCCCGGACGTCGAAGGAAAGGCTAAGCACGAGTTTTGGGGCATTCGGAAGTCATTCGGTCGAGCTGGAGCCAAAGCACGGGCGCGCCTAAATCAAAGCACGGCCCTGTTCCTGGACCGTGCTTTTACTGCCGAGGCTTTCCCCACGTTTGTCCTACACCAGCTCAAAACACGGGCGGGACTGACCCAAAACACGGTCGTGTCCATCATCAAGCACGCCCGTGTTTTCCCAAAGCAGCAGCCCGTGTTTTTAACACGTGGCAAGGCACGGGCGGGCTGGAGCAAAGCACGGCCGTGCCCTCGATCGTGTTTTGCCCAGTGATGCCCTTTTAGGCAGATTTCAGCCAAAAGAGAAGGGGATTCGAGTTTTAGAGAGACAGAGCGATTCCTAGAGAGAGAAAGCGACGAACAAGAGTTCCCAAGTGCCCTAGCTTGATCTTCATCACCATTGGAGCTTGGCTTGAGCTTGGAGGAGTGCCGATCAACGTCCAGGAGCAGAAATCCATCCTTCACAATATGATTTCCGCGTCTGAATCTGCTTTTGCTTCTTTCTCCATGGAGTAGTTCTCCCATTCATCTGGGTATGGGAAACCCTAGATTTGTATGTTAGGTTTGATTGTATGAACTCAAGTACTGATTCTATGATTTGATTATATTCGATTGAGGTTTGAATGATTGAATGACTTGAATCCTGATCAAATTCCTGTTGTTTCTGCATTAACCTAGAATGAGAATATCTGCCTAGGTTGATAGAGCGCCCTTCATTGAAGGTAGGGAATTGGTGACTTTAGTCAAGGAGCCAATTCACTATTCTGTACCAAATTCACTTCGGTAGTGGAGGTTTTGTTCGTTAGGGCCTCAATCTGTTTACTCCGATGGAGGTTAGTCGCCCGCTAGAGACTCAGATTGAGAGGGTCTGGAGACTTTTAGTCGAGACTTCAGGCTGTTTAAGAACCTTCCGCAGTATAACTATCATAGAAATTGAACTTGTTAATTGCAATCCGGCTTAACTGCAGTCTAGGGGGAACCATATCCGGGTGACCTCTCTCGACTTGAAACAACCGTTTAACTTGCTTTGTGTTTTTGTTTGCTTGAATCTGCACTAAAGTTTCACTGCTAGATAACAAGAATTCACCGAGTAGTCATCAAATCTAGGACCCGGGTTGACTTTAAAACCCAAACCCGCTATACTACGCTTTAGGAAGTGGTTACACTTGGCCACTTTCTAGAGTGACAGTAGGAGTGAGTCAAGTTTTTGGCGCCGTTGCCGGGGACGGCTATGTTGTTGAAGAAAAGTGATTTCTGTTACTTTAGCATTTTCATTTTCGCATTGGTTGTTTGTTCTTTCCCACTTGTGCCTTCACGGGTTTGCATTACTTGAGTGTGTGCAGATAGTGCATGACCCGTAGCCAGTCAGGAGGTTTACTGCCGTTGGATCCAGAGCTTGAACGCACCTGCCGCCAACTTAGGAGACAACAGCGAGCTAGACTGGCTACGGAAGAGCGCATAGACGGCCACTTGAGCAGCGATTCTGAGGACGAGTACGAGATGGAAGGAGAAGACAACCCAACCCCGGGGAATGCTCGTCAGGCTCCCCCGGTGAATCAGCTTCCACCACCACCGCTGGGTCCCACCTTGGAGTACTACTACACTCCACGGATTGCTGACTCCGCCCATTCCAACGAACAACTTCGAGATCAAGCCATGTTGGATTCAACTCATTACATCATCTATCCAGTTCCATGGCTTGAAGGATGAGGAGGCAAGGGTGCATCTTTCCCGTTTTCTGCAGCTGAC